GGCTCTGATGTTGGAGCCAGGATGGGGTCCGGGGTGCGCAGGTGGAAACTGTGGGGCAGGGGGCAGGTTCATCCCTGAGTCAGGAGAATGAGAGGTACGGGGCTCAGGCTGTCCTTGGCTGGGACAATCTGAGGCCAGGTCACCTGAACCTGACTGCTGCTCAGGATTACTGCAACTGCCCAGAGCTGTGAAGCCACTTGCAGGGATTCAATCCAGACCTGCGGGCCCAGGGACCACACGCCTTCTAGGGCCCAGGGGACAAGGCAACTCGGCAATGCACCCACGTCTTCCTATATTGTTTATTTGACTAATATTTTATTGATTTTTTTTTTTTTTTTTTTGGCTGGGCTCTGTAGCACACACCTGCAATCTCTGCTAATTATTCAGGAGGCTGAGGCAAGAAGACTGCAAGTTTGAGCTGAGCCCGTGCCATTTACTTAGTGAGACACTGTTCCACAGTAAAAAGGTCTGAGGGTGTGGCTCAGCGCAAAGGCTCCGGCGCCCAGGAACCCAGGGTCTCTCCTGTGAGAGGCAAGTGCTGTCCACTGAGTCACACACCTGCCTCCCAGCCTAATACTCCCCCCCGCCCCGTACTGGGGATCGAACTCAGAATCTTGTGCTTGTCAGGCAGGTGCTTCTCTCTGGCCCTACTTTTTGTTGTTGTTTTTGAGAAAGGGCTTCACTCTGTAGTTCAGGTTGTCCTTCAACTGGTGACCATCTTCCTGCCTCAGCCTCAATAGTGGTGGGTTGAGCCACCTCAACCAGCTTGAATGAGTGGTTTACTTTTTTTTTTTTTTTTTTAATAGTGTACTTGGTTCGGCACTGGGATTATAGGCATGCACCACCACAGCCTGTCTTGGTGGCCAGAGGTGGGCCAGGACAGCACATGGTGCTGGGCATTGAACCTGCATTTGCCTGAGCTGGCGCTTAGTCTGCTGTCACCTGCCCTTGACAGTCACATTTTTCATCCGCTTCGGAACACTGAAATGCCTGCTACTGCTGATTTAAATGGCAGTATCTTGCACACACTGTATATGAACATATACAACATGCCTGTGGCCTAACATGCAAGAGAGGGAGAAGGCAGCTTGTAGGGGTGAGGGTCTCAGGCCCCTCTTTTTTCCAGCAAGGTCCCCAGTCTCTCTACCCCAGCAGCACTCTGTACTGAGTTTAGGATAGTCTCATTTTTGTCGAGCCAGCAAAAGGAATCAGGCCCTGCTGGGTGCAGTGGCGCATGCCTGTAATCCCAGCACTGGGGAGGCCGAGGCAGGGGATCACAAGCTCCAGGCCAGTGTGGGCTGCATAGTGGGGCCCTGCCTCAAACACACACATAACCCCCAAGGGCTGTGTCAAGTTGTACTTCTGTCACCTGGTTGGGCCCAATGAAAACAACCTTGTGCCTGAGTCCGTGGTGCCCGCTTCCTATCTCCTACCACTCAGCTACTGTGGGAGGGCCGCTCCTGGTCAGGGAGGGAGTTTTTTCTTTTTGTTTCTTTTTGAGACAGGGTCTTGTTAGGTAGTTCAGAGTGGCCTCAAATCAGTGATCCTCCTGCCTGTGTCTCCCAAATGCTGGGATTATAGGCGTGTACCACTACACCCAGCTCACCATGAGGTACTGAGTTACCAAAAGAGCTGGCAAGACCTTTAGGAGGTACACAATTAGAGAAGCCTGAGAGGGTAGAAAGGAAGCCACTCCCTAGCTCTACTCTAGATGCCCACCGTCTCCATGTGCAGCCTCATCGCCAGCTCCTCTGCTGACGTTTTTTTTTGTGGTACTGGGGACTGAACTTGGGACTTTGCCAGGCAGGCGCTTGTCCTACTAAGCTATCTCCCCGGCCCCTCCGCTGATGCCTTTCAATCAGCAGCCTCTTTACGGAGGGAAGCAGCCAAGCTCCAGCTCACGGGACAGCCTGTTTTACAATAAACTGCAAGAGCGCCCGCCACCAGTGTATCTCTATAACACACATCCGTGTGAACTCTGGAGATCACGCTGACTTTATAGGCCTACTTAAGAGGCTCTGAATGGAAAGAAGTACCACACGAGTGCAAGCCCAGCACCTGGCAGGTCGAAGCAGAAGGGTCCCTGAGTTTCGAAGCCAGCCTGGATGCCAGGTTGTTCTTGGATGCCCCTGACCTCAGTGAGCTCCGCTGCTGCGGGCAGGCACAAGTACCACGGGATGTAGGTGCCACTCGCCACCTGCAGGCAGGTGGGGCTGTCGCTCCGTGTGCTCAGGGCACAGCCTCTAGGACCCACATCCAAGGAGAGGAGGCCAGAAGGGCGGGTTGGCACCCAGGGCCACCAGCCTGAGAGGCAGCTGATAGGCAGACCAGGCCTGTGGCTGCACGCTGGGGGGTGTAGGATGCACCTGGGCCAATTTCACCCTGAACCTCTTCCTCCATCCCTCCTGACGTCTTCAGCCTTTGTCAATGCTGGGGATTGAACCCAGGACCTCGGCACTGAGCTCATCCCTAGGTCTTTGGAAAATTTTATTACATACCTGTAATTCCAGCACTCAGGAAGCTGACGCATGAATTTGGGGCCAACCTGGGCTACACAGTGAGTTTAATTCCAACTGGAACTATATCGTGAGATTTTGTCACAAAAACCAAAAATAAACGTAAACTTATTTTACTCTTTTTGAGACAGGGTCTCACAATGCAGTTCAGGAGATCCTCCTCCCTCAGCCTCCCAAATGCTGCAATTACAGGCATGTGCCACTCTGCCTACGTACTGGTATTTCATTCCTGACGAACTGCCAAACTGCCTAGGCTAGGCTTGAACTTGTGATTGTTGCCTCAGCCTTCTAGTGCTAGGATCACAGAGGTGTGCCTGGCGATGGCTCTGTATTCCTTATAGATGTATTAACAGCTGACTAGGCCAGCTTTATTGCTGTACTGGACTGCTGGCACAGAGCCTCAGATAATGCAAGCTCTAAATCTATTGATTTTTGAGATACAGCCTGCATTAGTTACCCTTCTCTCGTTGCTGGGACAAATACCCGACACTCAGAATGAGGGAAGGAAGGGTTTATTTAGCTCACAGTTACTGGAGGTTTCAAGACACTGGAGGACAGGCTGGGTGCCGCTGTGTCCAGGACGACCCTCTCCACGTCGCTGAGAAAGCACAGGCTCGCCAGTTCAAAGGGTCACACCTCTCTGGCCCCGCCCCTCAGGCCCTGCTCTGGCCCTCTAGCTCCACCCCTCAAGCCACCCGCTGCTCTTCCAGCCACATCTGCCCCATAACTTACGTGAGGCTTTGGGGGGACAGCTAGACACACACCATAACAGAGCCCTGCTGTGTAATTGCAGGTTGGCCTCAAACTCAGTATGAAGTCACAACTGGCTATGAACTTACAGCAATTCTCCGCCCTCAGCCTCCCGAGTGCCGCGACGACAGGTATGTGCCACCGCACACAGCCCTGGATCTTTGTTGAATGAGGGAAAGAACAGCTAAGCTGGGTTCCTGGTCCTGGCTGGGCGGCACCTCGTGCCAAGGATGCCATTCGCTGTCCCGGGCAGCCTGATTCCCGCCTGAGTCACAGGGGGCTGCCCAGCACCCAGAGACAGTGGCTGCGGCACTTCCTCCATCAGGAGCCGCTCACACACAAGGTGGTTGCCAGGGGCACAACCTGGGGGGGCACCACTGTGGCTGCACACCAGCACGTTTCCCCCTTTTGGGTTCTGGTGGGACAACAGAGGTCTGCCAAGACAGTGGACCTCCACGATAGGCAGCAGCCACTCAGTGACAGGCTCAGTGGGCCTGGGTCAATGTGGGCATGCACCATAGAGCCCGCTGCCAGCTGCCAGCCAGCTTGGTGTGGCTCGTTTTCTTCAGTACTGGGTTTTTAGAATTTTTTAATGTATCTAGTACAGGGTCTACAGGATCTCACTACACAGATCGGACTCGCAGTGATCCTCCTGTTTTCAGCCTCCCAAGCACTCAGATTACAGGCGTGCACCACCATGCCCAGTCTCAGTTGCCATCTTGGTATGCCCCAAGGACAGGGCTGGTGTGTTATGCTGGGGGTCAAACCCCAGTCCTTTCAGTCCACTGAGCTATGTGGTCGGCCCTAGTACTGAAGATAGAACGCAGAGTCTTTGCACTCAGCTACATCCCCAGCCCTTGTTTTTATTTTTAATTTTGAGACACCATCTCCTATGCTTCTGAATTGTCCAGACTGGCCCTGAACTGGCCATCCCGCCTCAGCCTCCCCAGTGCGTGCACCACCACATCTGGCTCAGCTCCCTCTTGGGATCATTGCTGCCAGGTCCTGGAATCTGTCCTGGCATAAAGCCCAAGGCCAGGGCTGAGCAGATGACATCCACTGAGTGACATGACAAGCTCCTGTGTGTAGCCACGATGCGCCAAGCCAGGTCATCCTTAAGGGCCCCAGGCTGACCTACGACACCATCACAGAGACCTCACACCTCGAGTCAATGCATGCAAGGAAGGGCCAGCAATCCTGCTTCAGGCGGAGCAGGAGGGACTGGTGACTGTGGGGCTTCATGGCCACTAAGTGCCACTTGTGGAGCAAAGTGGGCTGGGTTCCCTCCTGCCCTCCCTCCTGTGTGGCCTGGACCCTGGTGCTTCTGGGTCTCACCAGGCGCGTGGCTTCCTTCCCAGGCTAGTCGAGGGACCACTATGCGCGTGCACATGCACGTGCCTGGCGCCCTCTGCAGCTCCCTCGGGTCACGGAAGCAGCACGCAGAACCCTCCCCAAGGTCCTGTGGGTCTGTCAGCAGCCACAGGCCAGCTCAGAACACAAAGGAAAGTGGCGTTTTGTATGCCACAAGTGAGAGGCTGCAGGTCAGCCTGGTGTGGCGGTGAGCAGGACACAAGGCCACAGTGCACATGATTGTGTTGTGGTTCTGAGACAGGCTGTCCTCCTGCCCTGGCCTCCGGAGTGCTGGGACTCTGGGCGTGCAGTACGAGGCCAGCCTGGGCAGTGTTGAGAGCACACTAGGCCAGCTGCATCACAACCTGCATGGAGCCCTGGGCTGGGCGGCCGAGGATGCTCCTCACAGGGAGGGCAGCTGAAGTCACTGTCCCGTGCTTGTGAAGCCCACAATTCAGCACAGAGCACACACGGGCTCGGCACGCCCTCCGGCGTCGTGTGAGATCCAGCAGGGGTGCGGGCAGCACTGCGAGAGGATCAGGTACGGGTCCTCCAGGGATCCTGGCGCCTCCTCCTCCAGCGCAGGCGCAGCTGCCTGTTCTCACAGGGGCTTGGCTCTTTCAGGAGCCTGTGGAGGCCAGCAGGGTGCACCCAGCCCCAGCTGCCGCCCACCAGCCCTGTGCGCTCACTGGTAACAGACAGGCAGACCCCTCAGCAGGGCAGGGAGGCTGGCACCGGGTGGCACAGGGCCTGGACCCGGTGCCAGTCACCCGAACAACGTCAAGGTCCCTGCCATCGGATCCCCATCTCAGCGGGCTTGGAGGATGGGCCTGGCTCTTGTCAGACAGCTCCTGTGGGGTGACAGGGAGGTGACGCCACAGGGCAGCCAGGCTTCAAACCTGAGTGTTGCAGCTCAGTGACAGATTCTACATGTCTTGGTCTCTCAGTGCCACGCCATGTTGGCTTTCTTGGTTTCTCTGGCTTTTTTGATTCCAAGGTGAAACACAACAACAAAACCCCAAATCCTCCAGTGCAAAAAATAAGTAACAACATACTTACACCAGGACATCACGGGACAATTCCAGCATGACAGGGGTGGGAAAGCTGAACAGTGTCCCAGCCCTCAAGGGCTCAGGCAGGGTCTCTGACTGACAGAAGGGGTGGGGAGGCTGTGGGGCCTTCATTGTGGATCTTGGAAGGCACCAAGGCCCCAAAGTCAGGTAACAAACAGCCAGACCCAAGCCCGATCCCAAGATGCTCGGCATGAACGTCCCAGCCGAGGAGCTGCTCTGGGACGCCAGGGCCTCGGGGCTTCCGTGTCAGCCGCCCACAGGAAGGAGTGGAGTGGGGACTATGTGACCAGGGGGATGTGGAACTCGCTCGTGTCGAAGATGAGGGGTCTCCGGGGAGGGCTGGGGTCCCTGTTGGCCCTGTGCAGCAGCTTGAAGAGCCCGGTCCCGATGCTCATGGGGATCCCCATGATGATGCACTCGGACACCCCTGCAACAATGGGTGGGGTCAGAGCACACTGCTCGGGCTCAGTGGGGAGTGCGCAGCTCAGCAGCACGGAGCCAGGCCTCCCTTTCCATCTGGTACTCGGGTGCGCACATGTGGCGCAGCTGTGGTGCCCCAGCCCAGCCCAGACAAGTGCAAGGCCGCAGCGCAACACAGCTGGCCTTGGGAAGGGCAGTAGGCGGGTGTTGCTGAGCTCCGAGCAGGGGCTGGGTCAGGCTCGGCATCCTCTCAGGGCCTACTCAGCTCCTACCCGAGCCGGCTGGCTTCCAGGTCCTGGCAGGAGAGGCAAGGGCTGCTGCACTGTGCCTTTGAGGCCCCAGAGAGACAAGGAGGGGCCCCTGGGCTCACAAGGCCCAGCTCCTGCCATGGGTCACAGCCCTATTTTCAGGCAGGGTTGCTTTTCTTTCCCTGTCCTGACAAGGCCTCACTCTGTAGCTTAGGCAGGACCTAAATCCACGATGTAACCCAGGCTGGCTTCAAACTCAAGGCAATCCTCCTGAATCCTCAGCCTCCTCAACGCTGGGGTTCATGTGCTACCACACCTCACTTTCTTTCTCTAGCACTAGGGACTGAATCCAGGGTCTTTGTGCTGAGCTAAGACCTACCCTTTTTTGTCTCGGGACAGGCTGGGCTTGAACTTGTGACCCTCCTGCTGGCATCACAGGCCTGTGGCAACACACCTGACTTGCTCTTCCCTTTGTCCTGGTCCTCTTGTTCTCCCTGAGCCTCCTTGGGGCCACTCTCTTCTGCTTTTGCTCTTCCCCTTTCTTGTCATAGTGGTGCTGGGAATTGAACTCAGGGCCTTGGCGATGACAGGCGAGCATTCCAGCACTGGGCTGAGCTCCCAGTCCTCACCTTCCTTTATTAGAAGGAGCCTTGCAGAGAGGGTATGGGGGTGCACACCTGCAATCCCAGCTACCTGGGAGGCTGGGTCAGGATGGTCCCAAGTTCAAGGACGGCCTGGGGAACCTAGCAAGGCTGTGTCTCAAAATAAAAATAAGAAAGTGGGGGCTTGCCCCTTAGCTCAGTTCTTTAAGTGGCTGCTTCAACAAAGCAGTCAGGCTCAGGTTGCTGTGGTTCGATCCCCACAACACAAGCCAGCCAGTCATGCCTTGAAGGTATTCGGAGCAAAAAAAAAAAAAAAAACTTCTGCCATTTTTGGGGCCAGGGAGATGGCTCAGTGGAATAAGCGCTTCCCTGGCAAGCACAAGGGCCTGAGTTCAATCCCCGGTTCCACCAAAAAAAAATAAATAAATAAAAAATAAAAATAAGAAAGTCCTCTTGGGACGTACCTCTCCCTCCAATCTGTTTTCTTTCTCTTAATTTTTTTGTCCTTTTGAGACAGGCTCTGGCTATGCAGCTCAGGCTGGCCTCAAGCTCGGCTCAGTGCATAGCCTAGGCTGGTCTCTAACTCGCAGCCATTCTCCTAAGTGCTGGGACTGCAGGAATGTACTGCCACACCTGGCCTCTTTAAATGTTTTGAACTGCTGGGGGTCAAACCCAGGGCCTGCACATGGGAGACAAGCACCCACCAGCGGCTCTGCCTATGCCTTCTCAGACGAAAAGGTTCGCACTGGTGGAAACACGGGCGCTGGCACTGACAGAGCCCACCTGGGGCCCTATCTGGCAGTTCCTAGTTCTTGAATCTGTATAAGCAGAGGTGATGCGACAGGAAAGAGCTACTGCAAAGCAGCGCTCCGGTCTGGCACCCCTGCTGGGGGCCTGCCCAGGTCACACCAACCCTTTCAAGCGCTGCCCCCATGGCTGCCATCCTGAAGGGTCTTGCTGCTGGGGACAGAGGGACAAGAGGAGAGCCCAGTGCACAGGCTCAGTCCCAGTGAGGACGGCACCTTCTGCATTCCTCTCTTGGTGGCAAGCGTCCCCTCACTGTGGAAGGGCTACATGTTACCTCCCTGTGATGGCACACATGGTGCCCAGCCAAGGGCTGAGCCTCACTCAGACAGTATGCCCACTTCCTTTTTCTGGAGACTGGGTGGTAAGACCACCCTGCCACTACCTGTGTGGCTGTGCCAACCCTGGGGCACACTGAGGGCACAGAGGCAACAGGGCCAACACCAACGTCAAGGAATGGAAGATTTCCATGCGTCCAGACCTGCAGAATGGCCTGTCACAGATGCGGGGGGAGGCTGTATCCGCAGCCTTAGCAAACCAAAGACTGGTGGGTTCCAGTTTCAAGATCTGCGACGTCCCTCTGGGGTGTGAGGGAGCAAGGCCTGGGGCACTCTACTGCTGAGCCACACTCCTGGCCCTTTTTAAACACTGAGCCAGGGGCTGGGGACATAGCTCAGTGGTCTAAGTGCCTGTGTGGCAAGCCCAAGGACCTGAGTTCCATTCCTGGTACCACATGCTGTACTGGCCCTGGAACTGGGTGATTCATGCCTGTAATCCCAGCACTGGGGAGGCTGAGACAGGAGGATCACTGCAAGTCTGAACTGTGTAGTGAGACCCTGTAACAAATAAAATTTTTTCTAAAAAAATATCTTTAGACAGGGTCTTGCTAAATTTTCTAGGCTGGGCCTCTCCAGCTCCCAAGTGGCTAAATTTTTTTTTTTTTTTTGGGGGGGGGTCTTTGATTTTTGGGGCAGGATCTCGCTATGTAGTTTAGTCTAGCCTTGAACCCACTATGTATCCCAGGCTAGCCTTGAGCTGAAAGCTATTCTGCTCCGCCTCTCAAGTGCTAGGATCACAGGTGTGTACCACCGCACCAGGCTGTGGCTTTATTCTTTTTTGAAGTAGCAGGGATTGAACTCAGGACTTTGCGCTTTCGAGGCATGGGCTTATGTGTGGCTTTATTCTTAAAAAGGAGAAGATTCTGCTGCCTGAGTCGCTCAACCCACACCGTGAGCAACGGGGACCGCTGATGAGACTCCCCAGGAGACCTACCGCACACGGAGTCCTTCTGCCCAAAGTAGGCCGCGTCGAAGAGGTGGTCGGCCGTCTTCTCGAAGGATGCCAGCATCAGCACACTCTCCTTCATCTTGGCCAGGCCGAACCTGGTGATGCCCAGGACCTCACCCTGTGCCGGGGGACACAGTCAGGGTGCCGGCGCACGCCTAAGCTGGGCACAGCAGCCCCACCCAGCTGGGCTGGGCCCCAAGAGGCCACTGGCTACCGGGGTCATGCACCTACCCAGATGCTGCACAGTGAAGAATGGAAAGCCTCGCTTTTTAAAGAGTAGAGTGGAGTACTTCTTTACAACAGCCCAAAGAAGAAAATACAGAATGTTTCTTCGGTAGTGCTAGGAATCGAACCCAGGGCCTTTGCGATGAGCAAAATTCCCAGCCCTTTCTGGAGTTTGAAACCACAGCTCAATCAGTTGCTAAGTTGCCCAGGCTCGGTTTGAACTTGGGTCCTCCTGCCTCCTCTTCCTAGAGTGCTGGGATTACAGGGCTACAACACATGTTCAGCTTAGACACAAAATTTAAAAAGTTTGAGTATGAAATTAATTTGCTTAGGTACTTCCATTTAGAGGAATTTGTTGCTGTTGTTGGGACATAAGGCGGCACTCTGTAGTACAGACTGGCCGTGAACTTCCTAGGTAGCCCAGGCTGACTTAACCTCCTCGGGATCCCCCTGCCTCAGCCTCCCAGTGCTGGGATTATCGCTGGCTTGGCTGCAGGGTGAAACTGGGGAATTGACACAGAATTCCGCAAAGCTCCATCACTTCGCCCAGGGCTGCAATTCCCATGCTGAAATTCACCAGCGCACCTGCCCCACGCCAGGCCTTGCTTTGTGTGGGACAGTGACATCTTATTTCCCCTGGTCCTGCAGCACTGTCCTGCTACAGGGAGGCCCGGCAGCTGGGCACTACACCCACGCACCTTATAGGTCATGAGGTCGGACAGCAGCATCACATGCCTGCGGTCGATGCTCATGCCATGGTTGACCATCGTGTACTGGATCTCGTTGATGATGGTTGTCCGCGCCGCCTCGATGCCCAGCGTCTTCTCCACCTGTGGAGGGAGGGGTGAGCCAGGGTGGCCCTGCCTGGATGCGGCTGTGACCTCTGCCTGCAAACTCCTCTGCCCAACAAGCTCAAGCAAATCTGACTATCACCTAAGATTCTAGGGAGGCCCAGGCCGCGGTAGTGTGCAGAGCCATGCCGGTGGTGGCAGCAAACAGCCAAGCCAAGTGTACCTCGTAGGTGTTGTTGGAGCTCGTCCGAGTGCCCTTCACACCGTGGGTGGCCATGACCGCCCGCAGGTTGTCGCCCTCCACCAGCAGCTTGTATTTCTCCTTCCCGCTCTGCTCATCGATGTGGATGACGGCTCTGGACACCTCAGGGATGCCCTGTACCACCACCTGGCCCGGGACAAAGATACCTGAGGCCCTGGACTGGGGAGCTCAGAACCACAGTGCTGTAGGACCCGGGTGTGCAGGTGCTGGCCAGTGACCTCCACTGCCCCTAGCTACCAGCAGGGCTTATCAGCACCTTAATAGGTGCCTGTGTGCTGAAGGGGTCAGGGAGGAAAGCACGGATTTGGGGTCTGAGCCCCATTCTACAATTCTATAAATGGACACTAAGGACCCCTAAAGGAAGAGATGGCACAGAGAGTCACAGAGAAAAGAACCTGCCAGGCATGGTGGGGCATACATGCAAACCCAGCACCTGGGAGGCTGAGCAGGAAGATGGCTGTGAGTTTGAGGCCATCCTGGACCATGTAGTGAGATCCTGTCTCAGAACACACAGACAAAGGCAACACAAGAGGAGGCGGAGGAAGAGGAGGAGGTGGAGGAGGAGCAGGAGGAGGAGCAGGAGGAGGAGGAAGAGCAGGAGGAGGTGGAGGAGGAGGAGGTGGAGGAGGCGGAGGAGCAGGAGGCGGAGGAGCAGAAGGAGAAGGAGGCGGAGGCGGAGGCGGAGGCGGAGGCGGTGGAGGAGGAGGCGGAGGCGGAGGCGGAGGCGCACCTCACCGGCCCCCCGGGGCCTGCCCACCCTCACCTTGGGGAGCTCCTCTTTCAGGAACTGCAGCACGTAGTACATGGAGCTCTTGCTGCTCTCCCGGGGGGTGACGCACACCACAGCCTCGCCGTGCACGGCCACGTCGCCGGGCTTCACGCGCAGCTTGGAGGTGCAGATGGAGTAGCGCACGGACTCGGCATTCACCTATGAGCACGGGAGTCACCGTGAGGTGTGGGGCGTGTCCCCCTGGCTCCGCCCTTCACTTGTCCTGGGCTCTCTTAAGACGCCTCTGGCCATTCTGTCCCACATCGCCCCCACCATGCAATTTTAATAGCACGCCTGTCTATGGTGCTGTGTGGATGCAGTGTGTGTCTGCAGCAGCCCTCAAAACACACCATCTGCATCCCCAAATGAATATCTGTCTCAGCCAAAATTCCTGCTCCACACAAGGCAACACACACAGCCACATGAGCAGCCCTGGGGAGGCCGAGGTAGGAAGGGGAGGGCCAGAAGCAGGGTTCCGTGGCTCCTGTGTGCCTGAGAAGGGCTGCCCGCCCTGGCTGCTACCTGTCCACAGACATGTGATCACATGTCACTGTGACTGCACACTGTGGTCTGCAGGTCTTGAAACCAAGCTCTGTGCGGCACCCCAGCACGCAGTCCCCATGCAGGCAAGGCCCGCCCTCAAGCCTTTAGTCAGGGGACTCACCTCCAGGCGCAGAAGCCGGATCCGCTCCAGGGACAGCTTGACCAGGATGAAGCAGTCGTCAGGGAGGAACACTTCTTCGATGTACTCGGAGATCTGCGGTGCCCAGAACGGAACGTCAGTCAGCCCCTTTCCCTCTCCCTGGCGTGCCCTGGCTTGCTGTCACCATCACGGAGAGGATTTCTTACCTCCCCCAGGAGGGTCTTCTCAATCCTGCCTTTCACCAGGCGGGCGTAATCAGCATCCTCGTCCTTGTCTAGCTGGGCCGTAATAATTGGGGTGCTGTGAGGAGACAGATGCACTCAGTGCATGGGAAGGACCGTCTGTGGGGCCGAGCGCAAGCAGCAGCAACGCCTGCGGCTGAGTGGAGCCTTGCCAAGGGGCCTCGCTCTCATTTAGCCTATCTCAGGGCAGCCACTTACGCCTCCTCTCTGGTCCCAAGTAGTTCTTTTAGCTCTGTTCCCCTTCACGCAAATCAACCCCATCCCTGGCCTGCAAACCTCCTGCGTGGACCCCCGAGGTCTGCTGATCCTCTGCTCTGGACACTGTGCCCACAGGGCTGATACGACCAGCCAGACCTCCTGCCACTCTGGATGCCAGCGATGCTGACCTAGCACCAGGCGTAGTTATTTTTCCTTTAATGCTACTGGTTATCCTTTGTTAGACTTGTATCACGGGAAAGTGTGACTTTTGTCATTGCAGGCAGGTACCCACAAAGCCTACCACGAAGTCACCAGGGAGGTCACAGGAGAAGACCCAGGCCAAGGGCAGACAAGCAGACAGCCGCATTTAGGTTGGGAATGACGACATCAGAGATGACTCTGCTCTGACAATGCTTTGGCTTTTTCAGTCTGTGCTCTCTTTCACGTGACATGTAGCCATAAAAGCCTGCTGCTTCCACTCCAAACTTGTCATTCCTTTTTTTTTTTTGAGATAGTCTTATGTAGCTCAGGCTGACCCTGAACTTAGAATAACCCTTCTGCCTCAGCCTCCTGAGGGTTGGGATTATAGGTGCAGGGCACTTGGCCCAGCGGCCTTATTTTTTTTTTCCCCCTTTTTGTACCAGGAATCGAACTCAGGACCTTGCACTTGCCAGGCAGGTGCTGCGCTGCTGAGCTAAATCTCTATATTTTATAAATGACTTTTTAAAATACCAATCATTGTTGGGCGTTGTGGCACAAGGATTGTTGCAGGTTGAGACCAACCTGGGCTACAAAGTGAGCTCAAGGCCAGCCTGAACTGCATGGACACCGTACCTCAAAGAGACAACAAAGAAACAAACATGACCAGTGCGTCAACTGTGGCCCCAGCATGTCAGGCACAGCCTGTCTGCCACAGCACCAGGTACACATGGGACCACGCTCCCGGAGCCCACAGGGAGCCAGCCACCTGATGGCCTTGGAGGCGTTGATGATCTCCTTGATCCGGGGCACGCCCAGGGTGATGTTCATGGAGGCCACGCCCGCGAAGTGGAAAGTCTTCAGGGTCATCTGGGTGCCCGGCTCGCCTATGCTCTGTGCGCACAGGGCGCCCACGGCAGAGCCCGGCTCCATCTGTGCCCTGGAAGGGAAGGCGGGGACAGGAGCAGCGTGATGGAGAAGCCAGCAGAGGTGCTGCGGCAGGCTCTGGATCGCAGTCTTGCAAAAGCCCTACAGGTGCCACCGTGGCCAGGAAGGAAGCGGCAAGGACCGGGCTGTGTCTGTGGACCAGGTGCAGGTGGGCATGTGAGGTCACAGAGGGGTGGGCAGCGCAGCTGAACACTGCCAGCACGTGAGCGACAGGCCAGAGGCCACGCCTGGGGAAGAGGCGCAGGACACTTCACGGGGCGCATGCGGCCTAGTGACCCCCAGAGGGGAGGTGATGGGTCGAGCCCTGGAGCGGCTCTGTGCCCATGGGGCGCCCAGGGGGACACGTGTGGCCCGTGAGCGCCCCACCTCATGTACTTGTCCTTGCAGGTCTCCAGGAACTTCTCTAGCTGGGTGGGCGTGATCCGGTCCAGCTGGTACAACACTCGGGGCTGGAGGCACAGAGGCAGATAGATGCACAGTTACTTAGGGCAGTGGCACCGGCAAAGCCCTCACCCTCATGTGTCCGGGAAGGCTGTTACCTCTGTTGTGCCGTTATCGTTGATGCCGTACTTATCTCTGGTTTTCTTGATCTTCTCAGAAACTCCCTTAATGAATTTTTTTATTTCCTGAAGGATGACAGAGTAAATACCAAGTTATCTGTTTCTTAACAACTTGGACGATACGATTCATTTCCTGAGCTTCAGTGATACATAACAAGTTGACCGTGTTCGGCGGTGGCTCGGAGGATGGCACAAAGGATACGTACGGCGTGCACACTGGGTTCCTACACGCGTTCCGAGGGCCTCCCACCCACCGCCGGGTGCAGACGCTGCAGCAGTGTCCTCGGCCGCTACTCCAATCGCTCTCAGGCCTGCTGCCCGCAGCCTGCCTCCCCCACAGGACTTGGGTTGCTGGACCCCTGTCCCGGCTCCCCACATGGTACCACACCCTCACGGTCTCCCGTCCCACAAACTGGACGGTTTGTACTTTGTGCCTCTAGGGTTTCTCCTGAAGCTACGATGAAACTTCCCTGGCAGGGAAAAAGAATTTGACATACAGTTAAGTGAGGCACATAGAACGCCAAGTGGCTATGACCGAAAAAGTCTGTAAGGGGCTGGGGAGATAGCTCAGTGGCTTAAGTGCCTGCCTGGCAAGTGCAAGGTCCTGAGTTCTATCCCCACTACTGGAAAAAGAAGTCTACGGCTAGACATTTCATAGTCACAATTCCAGAAATTCAACGTAAGAATAATTTTTTTTTTTTGTATTTAATACAGGTTCTACAGGGTAAGAATAGAATATTAAAAGCTTTTGGATAAAAGATATGAATCACCTATAAAGGAAATCACAGCTGACTTTTCAACACAAATTGTCAATTCAAGCACAGCTTGGAGGAAAGTACTTCAAGCCCTAAAAGAAAACAATCTCCAACCCAGGTTGATGCATCCTGCAAAGCTATGTTTCAAACTTGATGGAGACATAAGATACTTCTCTGACAAAGAACATCTGAAGAAATTCAAGGCCAATAAACCAGCGTTCTGAAGGACAGTCTAGAAAAACATAACAAGGACCACAACTCCATGGACCCCAACAGAAGGAGTTTACCTGGCAAGGCCAACAATTAAACAGAAGTGGGAGAAAAAAGGGGAGCCAACCACAGGAAAATGACATGACAGAGATAAAAAAACAGATTGGCAGGCTGGATCAAGAAGCAGAACCTGGAGAACTGGAAAATAGATGAATGGCATAAGGACTGGAATTTGATCCCCAGTACCAAGAAGAAGAAGAAAGAAGAAAGAAGAGGAGGAGAGAAGGAGAGGAGAGGAGGAGAAGGGGGAGGGGGGAGGAGGAGGAGAGGAGATAAGAAGGAAAGGAGGAGGAGCAGGAGGGGAGGAGAGGAAGAAGAAAGAAGAAGCAGCAAGAGCCAATGATATGCTGTATATATGAAACACATTTATTTATTTATTTAGTAAGTACAGGGTCTACAGAGTCTATAGGGGCTCACTACATGGATCAGACTCGGAGTGATCCACCTGTGTTCAGCCTTCCAAGAGCTGGGATTACAGGTGTGCGCCACCACGCCCAGTCTCAATCCTGTCTCACAACACCTCGGGTGCAGGCAGCATGCTGGGGATGAAACCCCAGCTGCTGTGTCTGCCTAAGTAGGTGCTTCAGTCCGATGAGCTAGCTATCTAGCCGGCCCACGACACATATCTAATTCAAAAGGAAATTCAAGGGCTGGGGAGGTGGCTCAATAAAAGTGCTTGCCTGGCAAGCGCAAGGGCCTGAATTTAATCCCCGGTTCTGCCAAAAAAAAAAATTCACAGACTGAAAGTCAAAGGATAGAAAACAATATTCCACACAACAAGACCACAGAAAAAAGCAGGGGTTGCTATTGTACTTATAGACAATGTGAATTTCAAGCCAAGACTGATCATGAGAGACAAAGAAGGTCACCGGGTCCCTGTAAAGGGAATAACCCAAAGAGATAACAGTCATAAATATGCGTGCACCAAATACCAGCGCACTGAAGCCATGACAACTGAGGCAAACATACCACGCAGGAACAGCTCCAAAGACACTGCCTGCATTTCAAGAACATAGGGGGCCGGGGGGATAGCTCAGTAGAATAAGTGCTTGCCTGGCAAGCACAAGGGCCCGAGTTCAATCCCTGATTCCACCCAAAAAAAATAAAAAAAAGAAAAGAAAACAGCAACTGTTGCACGGAGGTCATGCCCTGCTGGCCTCAGCCCCTGCTTCACGACCCGCCTGTCCCCAGCTCAATGCCCCTGGTCCCACACTGCCCAACTCATCAGGGCTCCTGGATAACATCTCCCTGCAGCCATGGCTATAGTCTCCATCTATCTTAACCTTGCAAAAATAAATCTCTTTATTCCCTTAGGCTACCTGGAAATTTCTAGTTATTCCCTTCTCTGAGAACAGAACACTGGAATTTTATTATTTTTTTCTTTTTTCTGGTTTATGCTGCTCAGGCTAGGCTGAAATGCCTGGGCCTGAGTGGTCTTCCTGCCTCAGCCTTCCCACTGCCCCGGCCAGCTATGCTCTGCTGTTTAGACAGCCTCAGCATCGCTCCCTGGCTCACCGGTGGCCAGCCTGGTGTCACCTGGCTTGTGAGCCTGCCGGAGATGCAGGGCATAAGTGACGCCGCCAGCACAGAGCTGAGGGCTCAGAAGGACTGGAAGAGAGCAGCGGGTTCCCCAAGGTCTGCTGCCGGGCTGGGGTTTCTGCGCTGTTGTCTCTGTCCACTAAGAAAATCGTCTGTGGCCAGGAGCCCAAATAGCCCGGGGCTTCCTCTTGATGCCTGCGCCGGCCACCTCTTCCCACTGGGGAAGTGTGGAGGCATGCAGAAGGACTTCTGCTTAAGAAAGGATTCTTGGGGCTGGTGAGATGGCTCAGTGGTCTAAAGCACCTACTTAGAACAAACTAAGCTAAGCACAGGCACCGCGGTTCAATCCCCAACACCACATGCCAGCCAGCCCCGCCCCCTGGTGGGCTGAACTGGCCACACACACACAAAATACATAAATAAAAATTAAAAAAAAAAGGATTCTTACTAATTTGCAAGAACTTAAAATCCCCAAGAGGCTGCCTTTAAAGGAAACTCTCCAGACCCATTAACCAGCAATCCGAGGCTCCACCTGCCGACAGTGCCAGTTGTCACAGGGCAGAGGACAGAAACTCTGGATGGCGTTCAGCTTCCCTGCTCTACCGCCCCGTGGGGAGAACGGGCCTCTCTGCACTGCTGCGCACCAACGCCTGCCTGGCCAGGGCCGCGCCACGTAATGGCCCGGGGTTACAGGCTGCCTCACCTGTCAGCATGGGAAAGAGGAGAAGCCCTGGGCCAGGCCCCGGGGTGCTCACTTGGGAGGGGCTCTGTACCCCAGGAGTGAAAGGTGGACACCAAACCACGGCCAGCAGGTGTGGGGATTCCTTCTGGCACCAAACATGGAAGAAGACTCCCCGCACACAGAGCTTAGGACAGAGATATTAGAAGTTTGATTAAAGGACAGAAAACCAAAACTCATCTGCCGGGAAGGAAAACTGAGGCAGGCCTAATAACTCAGGTAAGCGACAACGCAAGCGCACTTGACAGAGCCCGACAAGGAACCCGATACCCAGCTGTAAGAATCTTGGGCTGCTCTGGCCCTCAGCTCTGGCTCAGCCACTGCTGCTGGAGAACATTTGACAGTTCAGACAGAGATGGATCTGAGCCCACCAGAGACAGGGGCTCAGGAAGGAGGGACAAGCGGCGAGCCACCCCTCATCCCAGGTCTGCCACATGGTGACACATGATGTGGTGAAACTGCTGGTTAGGATGTCACCAGTAAGACAAGAAGTGGCGCGAAGCAAAGCCCGCATATGCCAAGACTAGGACCACAATGTGCTGTCTCTGAGCCTGGCAAAGAGCCACACCCCAGCGACTACCCACACATGGCACCCATACAGGCCAGTGCAGCACCTCGCTATACTCATAGCCCGTCTTAAAATCTTTAGCGTCAGAGAGAAAAATAAATAAACACTGGTCTACAGAAAAACCAAATTATAATCTAGTTTTAAAAAGAGAAGACCAAAACTGAAGGAAAAACCCAAAAGTACTGAGGCCTGCCCCAGCCTGGAGGTGAGCCGTGACCCCGGCAAGAGGCTCTTTCCCTCTTTCCTCCTTGCACACACCCACAGGAGAGATGGAGACGGAGAGGGCCAGGGAGGAAGAGAGGGACACAGGGCTCCCTGAGCAGAGGCTCACTTGGGCATCCCTCCGGTCCACACTGAGAAGCTCATCCCAGCCTGCGTCTCTGACTGACACTCGCTGCACACAGGCTGCTGTCTATGGACTGCTTGACCCTGCAGTCTCTGGTCTGAGCCACAGCCCAGAGTGTGAGGAGCACAACTAACAACCCAAATCAAAGCCGACTAGAAATCGCCAAGAGGCATCAAGGTAACAGAAGAATAAAGAAGGCTCGATGGGTCTGGGATCTGGGATCCAGTGTAAGCAAAGAGCAGTTTAAGGTGCACAGCAGTGAAGTCGCGCTACTGCCAGTCGGAACAGAACACACCCTCACATGGCTAAGGGAGGAAGGAAGGTGGTGAGGAAGCAGACAGGGAGCTGTTGAAGGTGAACAGGCTTCAGTCAGCTTTCTCACAAGCTGCACCTGTGAGACACGAGGTGGGTTCTTCGTGCTCACCAGTGAGTCTCCGTGTGGACCATTTTAGTCTCTTAGCGCAGGAGCAGCTGCATGTTAGAGGTGAAGCAGCGCCAGGGCTGGGGTGCAGCTCGGGGCAGGGTGCCTGCTCATCACCAAGGCCCTCGGTCCGGCCCCCAGCAGCACAACCATGAAGTCCCTCCGAGCATATCAGCTCCACCTGCAGCGCTGGGTGTGCAGGGTCCTGGCACCGCAGGAGGGCTGCGGGCAGTGCATACCTGCAGGAAGCTGTCCCGGCAGCACAGGAACTCGTCCTTCTTCATGATGGCCTCGGTGGTCAGGGCCAGCTCGTGCTTGCTGAGCGCAGGCTCGCTGGGACACAAGTAGACGGCCTGAGGGTGGGAAAGAGCAATACGCATGGGAGCGGGGTGGAAGTGGGGCACACAGGAGGGAGTGGCCAAGAGATCACCTGGCTCAGCCACATGGGCTTTCAGCAACCTGTCATTTTTCTTCCAAAACAAACCGCGGACCCACCTTCCCTGTCACTCTGTCTTTCCCTCTTTGAGACAGGGCCTTGCTCTGTAGTTCAGGCTGGCCTCAACAACAGCAATGCTCCTGCCTCAGCCTCCCCAGCGCTGGGATTACTGGCATGTACCGGCACACCTGCCATGCGTCCTCCTTCCACGTGAGGACGAACACTTGGTAAACTGATGCTCCACCTCATCAAAGACTTCTGCCTTTGGTGGGTGTTGTTCCATTATTTCCCAGCCTCTATCCCAGGCCAGACTTGCCTAAAAATGCACACTGCTGAACACCAACAGCAAACGCAGACATTTCAGGAGTGAAACGCTTTCACACCCTTAGGCTGCTGAGATGACCCCCACCCTCACTGGCTGGTGTCTCCCCGCCGTGAGGCCAGGCCACGGCGGATGTGACCTGCATTCTGCTGAGGGCTCCGCCATGCCTACAGCATGGAGAAAGCACTCTGCACACATCAGGGGCCAGTTTCTGTACGGGGAACTCCTGGGTCAAAAGGTGCACGCATGTAAATCCAGATCGATATTGTCAAGCTACCCCTGGAGAGATTGCTCCAAATTAGATTCCCGGGCAAAGGATGTGAAATGAGCCTGCTTTCACCAAGACTTAGAAAGCGGTCTGTAGTATGCAGAACACAGAGAAACATCAGCCTCTCTACTGGCATTTGATATTGCTAATATTAGACTTTCAAATATGTACTTTTTCCTTTGTATATTGCAAATTATGCAGAGTAGTGCAAAGGAAAAAAAAATATTTATTTATTTATTTATTTAATTTGGTGGAACTGGGGATTGAACTCAGGCCCTTGCACTTGCCAGGGAAGTGCTTATTCCACTGAGCCATCTCTCAGGTCCAATATTTATTTAATTGTAAGGGTCTACACAGTCTCACTACGTAGACCAGACTCGTAGTGATCTGCCTGTGTTCAGCCTCCCAGGAGCTGGGATTACAGGTGTGAACCACCAGGTCCAGTCTCACTCGCTGGCTCTGCACGCCCCTGGGGTGGGGGCAGGGCTGGCACGGCAGGCCAGGGATCAAAGCCTAAGCAGGCACTTGAATCTGCTGAGCTGTTATTAATCTGTGCTTAGTAGGTGAGGTGCCCAGAGCAGACAGAGGTTCCAAATGGTCCCCACATGGGAAGTACCCAGAGGCACGCCGTGGCTCTTACTCTGATGTTGTCCAGGACCCTCCTAAACTCCAGGGGCTCATCCTTTCCCTCCATGGCTGCAGGGTCTAAGCCGTCGCCCCCATAAATGAACTGGATGATGTCGCCGGTGGAGCTGCGGACCGTCAGGTCGTACTGGGAGCAGAGGTCTTCGAGGGACTTGACAAGCCGTCTCTGGAGGAAGAGGAGCAGAGAGCACAGCTTCGTTACCACCACCCACCCGCACAGAGGCAAGCTCTGCAGCTTGGGCTTGCAAGGGCAGAGCACTTCTTAGTTTTTGCTGTCTGTGGGTTCAACCTAAGGGTCTGTGCATACCAATGCTCTAACACTGGGCCACACTCCTGGCCCACGTTTACAGTATGAGAACTTCAATCCCATAAGAGCAGGGTGTGATGTGCATGTCTGTAATCCCAGCGCTCTGGGAGGCTGAGGCAAAAGAATCTTAAGTTCCAGACCAGTCTGGGCAGCTTAGGGACAGCATGACGCTGTCTTAAAGCACAAAAACTGAGCAAAGGGCTACAGGGCTGAGGATGTGGCTGCGCGAAAGGCTGTGGGTTTGATCCCCAGCACTTGAACCACCATTAGAAATCCCTTATGAGCATCTCCTGACCCTGAGAGTAACAACAGCGAGAGGGTCTGCCCAGCCCCTGCAGGGGGAATGAAAACTCACTCCAACCCCAGCACCCCAAACACCTGGAATTCCTGAAGTGCAAACTGCATCGCTCCCCAAAGCTCCTCAAAGCACTTCTAGGTGGCTTCACCTCCCCTCTTCTCCCTCATGGGTGAGCTAATGCCATGCTTTATGTTTTGTTTTTTGGGTTTTTAAAAATGTATTTGGTTGGGGCTGGAGAGATGGCTCAGTGGTCTAAAGCACCTACTTGGAACAAGCTTGGCAAAGCACAGGGACCGCGGTTCAATCCTCCAGCACCACATGCCAGCCAGCCCCGCCCCCTGGTGGGCTGAGCTGGCCACACACACACACACAATGTTAAAATAAAAAAAAAATGTATTTGGTACAAGGTCTACAGGGTCTCACTACAGATCGGACTCGTAGAGATCCTCCTGTTTGCAGCCTCCCAAACGCTGGGATTATAGACGCGTGCCACCATGCCCAGTCTCAATTGCTGTCTCAGCACTCCTGGAGTCAGGGCTGGTGCAGCAGGCTAGGGATCAAACCCCTGGCTCCTGCGTCTGCCTAAGCAGGTGCTTTAATCTGCTGAACTATCTGGCTGGCCCATGCTTTACGTTTTTCAAACAATTTAAGCCAGAACTCCTACAGACATCAAAATGAATTACAGAGGACTAGAAGCAGCCCCTTCTGACACAGGGGAAAGAAGACAGAGCAAGGACGACACCAGCACGCGGCAGCCTCGCCCCAGTCAGGAGGAGCCTCCTGATAGTGGTGCGCGGTGGCTCAGATATCCAGAGATCTTCCTCCAGGGAACTAAAACACATCCCCTCTCAGGTGGAGCTCCTCTAGGTTAACATGCTTCACTGCCTACTTCAAAAAAGGTAAAGACAAAAGCCAGCATCAGTACTGGTACTGCGTGCCACGCCAGCCCTGCCTGTGACTGAGTCCAGGCGTGCTGGTGCACACGTGTAATCCCAGCACTGGGGAGGTTGAAAACAGAATCACTATGAGTCTGAACTGCATAGTGAGACTCTGTAACACACACACACACACACACACACACACACACACACACACACAAAGCCAAAAGCGCATCATGGCAGGGGCACCTCAGGGCCCACCAAGGGTCTCAGAGCAGCACTCCAGAACTGCAGGGAGTTTCCCACTGGAAGCTGACTATGAGCAGCCACCAATGCCCGACAGGGTACAGGAGAAGCCCGGGAGTCGGTGCGACTACTTCAACCCTGGCCACCTCCCCGTGTTCCCACCACACCATCTCTGGCTCTGCAATACTGGCCTCCCTACGGCGAGGGCCAAGCTCGCGGAGTAAGGATGGAGAGGCTGCGAGGCTGGGGACCCAGCGGCGCAGAGCTCCAGCCTTCATGGGCGTTGGAAGCGGTCAGAAACATGAAAGACTGTGGCGGACGGCAGCTCAGCGGGAGCCTAGGCTGCATGCCTAGCACCACGCCAGGCCTTGGACTCACAGCGGGAAGACACAACCGTCAGACTGAAAAAGCCTTGCTGTGGCCTCGGAGTTTTCAGTCCTCTGCTGCTGAGGACACATTTGTGGCAAGGCATAAAACTCAAGCACAGGCCAGCGGAGCTGGGGCACGCCTCAGAGGATCGCGGTGAGTTCGAAGCCAGTGTTGGCTATGTGGTGAGTTCACGGCAGCTATATGTGAACTGCACAAGAGACCCTGCTTCCGAGACCCTCCCACAAAACTCTTTAAGAAACAAAAACACATCCTCAAAGCAAAAGCCAAGGGGCTGGAGAGATGGCTCAGTGGTCTAAAGCACCTACTTGGAACAAGCTTGGCAAAGCACAGGGACCGCGGTCAGATCTTCCAGCACCACATGCCAGCCAGCTGCGCCCCCTGGTGGGCTGAGCTGCCCCCCCCCACAATAAATGTTAAAATAAAAAAAAAATTTAGAAAAAATTATTAAAAAAAAAAAAAAAAGCAAAAGCCAAGCACAGAAAACCCCCCACTTCACCCTGCGCCCGCGGCTGTCAGCACGCTGAAGCAGCTCCCCACTGACGCTGCGGGCGAAGTCAATTCACAGCTTCATACTGAATCACACAGGCACTTGCCAGGTGGGCACTGCACGGTGCTGTCACCCCGCCCACATGCTGGAACTTAGGTGTGGAGGGTTTCTGCGGCCTCTTCCTGGACACACTTCAGCACATGCCCCCGTCTAGTGCAGCTCTGGGCTGTGTGCCTCAGCCCAACCTCGGCCACGCACAGTGCGCGTGATGATGCGGAATATGTTACAGTAATTTTGCTCTTTATTTCCAGGGCACCTGCATTTTGAAATCTCCCCCTCAAATGCAAGTATTGGAGCTTATTGTACAAACTCTGCACCTGCTGGGCAGCCAAGGCTGCTGCGCCCCGCCCGTCCTGCTCGGTGCTCTGGGCCCTGCTTTTCCAGTCACCTGCATGTATCCGGTTTCTGCTGTCTTCACGGCGGTGTCCACTAGGCCCTCCCGCCCAGCCATGGTGTGGAAGAAAAACTCGGTTGGTGTCAAACCAGAATAAAAGCTGTTGGCCACAAAGCCTTTGGCAGCTGGGAGCTAGGGAGGGAATAAAAAGAAAAACGAACAGCTCAAGGTCCGTGATTCAAAAACCAAAATGCCCCATCTTTAGACTATAAATAGACAGGTGAAGTGTTCCCAGAAGACAGTGAGCACTTGAGGAAGAGTGATTTGGACAGACCAGCCTCCTAGGGACAGGGCTGCCAGGTCCCAGCAGGCTGGCACTGGTGGGACAGGCTGGCCAATGGCACAGGAGAGGAGACCTAAGCTCGGGCTTGTATCCTAAAGTAGGAGGGCAGTACAGGGCTTGCGGGCAGCCCACCTATTCCCTGGGAAGCGACTCTGCAGGACATCCTTCTTGTGGGCAGACCTGTCCACCTCCAAAAGGTACCCCTGTGCTGCCCATGTTTATAGGGTTGCATTCTGTGAACCGGAAAGGCTCTAAGAGTAACCTGGGATGAGGGGTGCAGGACACTCCGGGCGCACCGACAGTCGCTGCACTGTACACTAAGTGCACGGGCGGATACTACGACTGTAAGACATTTCCCCAATAAAAAACCACGCGACTCACCCAAGGGCCTCGTGTCTATGTTGGTCTCTGTCCTCGGAGGACCATCCTGATCAACGGGCCCTCAAAGCCCACCCATCTGCTCCCACTCCCCCTTACCTTCGAGTGTTTCTCAAAGTGAGGCAAGGACCTGTTTTCAAAGCCGTCTGGCACACGGGAGCCGCTGATGGCCTGCTGTCCCACACAGGCGATCATCTGTGATATGTTAATGAAGGAACCTGGGGAGAGGTCTGGGTGTAACTATTCACACACACACACAGATGTGAGGGCTCATACGGGAAGAGGGCACAGCAAGGCCCACATGTGCAGCGAGCTCTGGCCCGGTGGAGGGCAGATGGGAATGGGGCAGGGTACAGCCGTCAGTCACAGGGGAAGGCAGTGAGGGCGCAGGCTTGGGAGCAAGACTAGGGTGAGGGAAGGTGGGAAAGAGCCACGTGAGTCTCTCTCCCCCGCTCTCTGCTGTCCAGCACATGTACCAGCGCCTTGCACATGATGCGTGAGTCTTCTACCACCGCACTACAATCATAAGTCTTTTGAAAAATTTACCTTGAAACAGTCTCAATAAGTTGCCCAAGCAGGTTTAGGGCTTGGGATCTTCCTGCCTCAGCCTTGAATACCTCAAATTACAGGTGTGTGCCATCATACCTAGCCCAAGTTCAGTGTTTAAGAAGGCAGCAGCAGGGTTGGGCAGGACATGCCTGGCAAGCGCAAGGTGTTGAGTTCAGACTCTCAACGCACACACGCCCGCATGCACGCAAGCACGCACACGCTGGCAGCAGCAGCCACCTGGTTTCGCTTCTGAGGATATGCAGTCTGGACACTAAGGAGGGCTGGGTAGGGGACTTCCAAAGTGGGTAAATATGGAGAAGTGGAGGTAGGTGTGGAGCTGTTTGTACTTGGGAGGTAGAGGCAGGAGGATCCCATGGGTTAGCCTGGATCACTTAGTGAGTTCAAGGCCACTCTCAAATACATACCAAACTCTATCTTGAAAAACAAAAAAAGAACTGGTCAAGCAATGGCCGTGACTCATCCTCATGTCAGACACTGGCAAAAGGATGTACAAAAGGCGGTACAGGGCTACAGGATAAATCCTGAGAGTACTTGGCTGACCCTATCAGATACAAAAGTTACATTTCTTGTTATATAGGTCTTGCTATATCTTGGTCTTAACCATCCAGCAGAAAAGTATAAAAATGAGATATATAAAGTAAAGCCATATTAATACGATGAGCTGTAAAAGGCTCAAGTCAATAACTTCTGAGCATAACCCACTAATATTATAGACTGCTAGACAGTGTTGGATTGTTTAGTTGAATTCAAACACCTATAGTATTTAGATGCCAATAGAATATTCACCTCTGACAGGACAAAAAAAAAAGAATACAAAGGAAAGATCATTTTGTATTTATATATACAAAATAGGATAAATTTACAGCTACTTTTGCTTAATTCAAAGAGAAGAAAGAAGTGTACTAACAGTGTTTGGACAGAATATCCTGTCTGTTTCTTGTACTATGGATAACCACTAAGAAGATAACAATGTACAATGTATTGATTATCAAAACTGTCCTATTAATCAGCTGTGAAACTGTCTCATTCATATTTATTTCTCAATACATGAAATAAATAAAAAAAAGGAAAGTGAGAACTAGAGGATTAGATAATGAAGAAAGGGCAAGGAGAAAAGCTAGGAAACATGACAGGAGCAAAACCATACATTTATATGCACAAGATGGGTAAGGCAATGATCCTGAGAATCTTCAGCATGTTTTTTAAACTAGCAGTCAATTGGTAGGATTCTCACACTGACCAACTATATATACGGATACCTGGGAACTAAGCAACTTCACTGAAGATAGCAATGTGTAATAGTAGGGCCATGCTTGGAATCCCTGTCATTCTGTTCTTCTAAATATGTACTGCTTGTCATGACATACCAATTACTGCCATACTGTCTCTCAAATAAATGTTTGTTTAAAAAAAAGGGTAATAAATGAAAACAAGAGACAAGAAAGATAAAAAATTTAAAAAAAGAAAAACAAAATAAAAACACCAAGATGAACAAATAATACCCCAAAACCAAAAAGACAGACAGATGAATGGTAAAGTGTGGGGTAGACACAGGAAGCAGGAGGGCAGAGCAAAAGGCAGCACAGTCACGGCCTTTGTTTGGTGAAAGCCCCCAGCAGTGACAGAAGGCTGGAAGCTCATCTGAGCGCATCACCAGGAACTCTGGGCCGGACACCTACAAAGTGGAGTTATCCGGCACAGTACTAAAGACATAGCTTCCTCCCAAGACCAAGTTGCTGGAGAAACCCTCACCCTCAGAAATCCACCCACATCACCCCTGCACGGGTATGAACAGGGCCTTTCCTGATGCCCAGCCTGTCTGAAGTGCAGACGCGGCAGGACGCTCTCAGCGCACCCATGGGGCCCCGCACCTTTGGAGCCGCACAGCGCCATGGTGAGGGGGCTGTTGCTCTTGTCCAGCTCGCGGAGACAGGCGCTGCCCGCGTGGTCACGGATCACTGACAGCTCCTTCAGGATCAGGGCCTATAGGGACAGAAGGAAACGTGTTAGGGCTGTGCTTCCTGGCTGTGCGGGTCACAGACACTCAGAAGCCAGATGCCAGATTTCCAAACAGTAAATGTTCTTGAGCCTTAAAAGTCTAAAATGCCTGGATTATACAAGCCCTCATGTCGTGTAAGGGCATAGAGGCAAAAGGTGCTCTGTCACAGAAGCTGAAAACTCATCACCCAGTCCAGAGGAGGCCGCACACAGCACTGTCTAGTGCCCCGCAGTCATATCCTTACGTCATATGCACATGTGTGTGCACCCCAAGGGAGCAGATGCTGAGCTGCTGGTGAGGCACTGCCTGGGCATTTATGCAGCTTGCCTCTTCCTTGCCAAGCACAGTCTGACTGCACGGCTCAGCATGTGCTGAGTGATTCTGGGGGAACACGCAGGCCCACACACATGTCCACATGTGGTCACTCACACCCAGCCTGCCACACTGAATCAATCAGGACGCACCGCTCTGTTCAAAACTGCTCCTGATGAATGTCTGAAATTTCAGCACTCGGGAGGCTGAGGCAGGACTGTGGTGAGTTCGAGGCCAGATCTGGCTACACAGTGAGTTCAAGGCCAGCCTGAACTATATCCCAAGACCCTGTCCCCAAAATTCAACAACTGGTGCTTCCAGGCCAACTGTCATTTCCTAGCTCGGTGGTCATCAGCAACACCCACTTCATCTTTTTCCCTCTGCCCAAGACTCAGTGAGATCAAGAACGAGTGAACAGAGCTCTCGCACAGCTCTGCTTCTCGTGCTTCCAATGAGTCTCTCCCCAGACAGCACCCTGCTGCTCCACAGGCCATCCATTCTCCTTCCAGTGAGTAAGCCTCAGGGTCATAGGCACAGCAGAGGGCAGAAGGAACCCAGGCTGGTGCCCCAGCCCGAGTGCGACAGCTCAGCTCCACCCACACTGGGGAGCCCTCGGCTGAGCGGGCTTCACTGCGATGGCTAACGGCTGGGGACACAATTATCAGATACTTTCCCCCTCCTGTGTCCTAGTCTCTCTAGTTTTTTAAGGGCTCATGAGACAGCCCAAATCGGCCTTGAGCATGTGGTAGTCCTCCTGCGTTGGCCCCGAGGAGTGCTGAGATTACAGGTGAGTACTACCACACCTGGCTCCAGGCTCTTTAAATACCATCCAACCCAGGTGTGGCAGCACATGCCTGTAAAACCAGCACTAAGCGGCCGAGGCAGGAGGAGCACCCATGTTTGAGGCTAGCTGGGGCTCCCTAGTGAAACCATGTCCCCAAAACCCACAAGACCACTCATGCAGAGCAGTGCTCAGCCTCTACTGGAGGGTGCTGACAGGAAGCAGAGGCATGGGCAGCACAGGGGCCAGGTGTCTGGTCAGAAGGAAAACAGAGACAGGTGGGCACTTCACAGCCTAGAGGCCAGGAGTAACGGCCTGATTGCAGGCCCTGCCTCACCAACAGACAGCCCGACTGCACGCGTGCGGAGCCACGGCCCGCCTTCCTGCTCCTCTGCTGCCGCTCTCCAGGGCTTGTGGCCCAACCCCAGGGAGCATCTCCATGGAGCTCCTTGCCATGTGCGGCGGTGGCTGAGTGGACGTGGGGGCGCCTCACCTCCAGCGTCTCCTCGGCGGTGCAGCCGGGCTGCTGCTGCAGCTTGCCTGTGTTCAGAGCCTCGATGTACTCGTCGCACTTCTTGTAGCCGGCATCCAGGAGCTCGTGCTTGGCCTTCAGCAGGCCCTGGCCCGGGGTGACGTCCCCAATGCCGATCGAGAAGCCCCGATTAGCTGTGCAGAGGTAGCATGCGGAGCGGGGGGAGGTGAGTGCACTCACTCCTGCACGCATGGCCGTGCCCCTGCACAGCCCTCCACCGCCCAAGGTCCCCACGGATGCCTACAAGCGCACAGCTCCAAGCCCTGCGCCTCCCACTGCCCCGACACACACCCGCCTATGACACAGCTTGATGAGCGAATTAAGTGCTGTAAGAAATGAATAACGGCCAGGCACAGCGGCAGGTGGTGGCCCTGGCCATCAGGATTTCATTGCCCCACACCTAAAACATGACCAGGCGTCCAGGGAGTAATCGGGAAATTATTTAACATAGCAGACACGACAGCAAATACCCTGAGAAAAGGAGATGACAGGGCATGGGAAACGCAGGCAGTAAGCCTAGTAAAGCTGAGCGTTCTTTCAGAGGAATCAGAGAAGATAAACACTAGAACAAGGCAAGCTGAAAACCCCCAAACCAACCAGTCAATGAAGACTTCCACCTGCTTACAGGTAAGGAACACGAAAGATGACTGGGAATTAAATATGTCATACAAAAATCATTTTTGGGGGGCCAGCCAAATAGCCCAGCAGATTAAGGAACCTGCAGGCAGGCACAGGGGCTGGGAGTTCAATCCCCGGGCCTGCCATGCTGTCCCCACCCCCGGGGCACGTTGAGATGGCGATTTAGACTGGGTATGGTGGCGCGCCTGTAATCTCAGCTCTTGGGAGGCTGTAAACAGGCAGATCACTACGAGTCCGATCTAGTAGTGAGACTCTGAACACCCCATAGACCCT